AATTCCTTTGAATAACTTAGTACTATCGTTACATATTACTAGGTGCCTTTTCTTATTTTAGGTTCATATGTTAACAAACTATCGATCACTTTTGCATTTTGCACCCTCTTCATGCAGTTATTGATGTCGAAAACTGCACTTTAACCTTGAACATTTTCTAGCACCATGTAACAAAATACATAAATCCTGCGATGATGCATATATATACATCCAATTTATTATATACCTGTGTTTCCTACATGGATTGTCACCGTTCTAGAGCATGCATATACACAATTTGATCAATTTCTAGACACACAAGAATAGCAGTAGCAGCAACAAAATGGACAGAAGAGTTGTGGTCCTAAACGTGATGAAAAACTTAGCACGTAGGAATACTATGTGTTACAATAATAATAAACAGACTATTATTATTATTATTATTATTATTATTATTATTATTATTATTATCATTAGCATTAGCATTAGCATTTGACAACTGATGTAAAATAAATCATTTTTGATATATTCAGGTATTCACAAGAGTCATGAATTGATTTAAAGGAAAAAGCTGCGCATATTTAATGGAGATATTGTAGATGATGAGCTTACAAGCAAGAAATTCCTATGCCATGTAACTATTTCGCTCAAAAAAATTCCTCCCGGAATTATTCATCTTCATTAATCGCTTCCTCTCTTTCCGCAAAGTGTTCTATATTTTGGAATAACCATTTGATTCTTACCTACGCATTCAGTCAGTAGTCTAATTTCATATACATTACAGAATTCTGTATTTCTCTGGTGCACACGCGCACGCACCCAAATGAAAATATTACCAAAGGATATAAATTATTATCGTAATAGAAACAAAGAAAGTATCTACGTGACTATTCTCAGACAGTCTTACCGCTCTCTGGTTCATTTGAAGAACTCAATCAAGATTCAAATCATATTATAATAATTGTCAGTTGAAGCTGTTATCAATTACTAAGCGATGAAAACAAACGAGTGGAAGAAATTAGGAAACGGATCATTATTATGTAATTTACTTTTATTCACTGTATTGAACTAGTTTGATTCACCGTTACATTGCTTTAGAGGACTGATCACAAGCACTAACGCTAACCTAGATTCTAGTATATCTGATCTTTAGGTTTCAAATAGAAATAAACAATGACACTGCAATCCATTACTACTCAACAAGGAGGTATAAGGACAGACTTGTACACTGACAGATTTCTGATGACAGGCATCGAAATGAATAACAACAGTACAACTTGTTTTTATCCTAAATATGCAACAAAATAACTTAACAGAAAAAGAAATGCGTTGGATAAGGAATAGTTGTTTAAAGCTTAGAAGCAGCCATCAAGAAGTTGCTACCTCTGAGGTAAAATATCGGTTTCTGGAAACCATGGCTGTTCTTTTATTTTTATTTTGATCGAATCAGTGATAGAATGGTAATTCGTAAATTGAGTTGTATTGTACTCTGAGAATGAGTCTTCGTTGATAAGCATCTCTTTGTCATGGAAGATATTATCACTTGAAAACAGTAATGAAGTATAGTTTGATTTTGAAAAGTCAGTGAACTAATTTCAGCCTGTGAAAGAAATTATTCTAAATATCTGGTTGGTCAGTCATTACCGGCATACTGGCTGAAAATACTGTGTGACGATCCAAGTTGTCACACTTCACATGAATGAACCCTAATGCTGAGCAACGAAAAATTTGCCAAGAGATTGAAATGATATCTTTAGAAGTTATAAGATGATATGATGACGAGATAAAGTGGATAACGAAATGCAACATAGAGGCTGAGATTAGGATAGGACACTACCGTGATCACCTCTGAGCCTATTCACCTAGATTTTCTAACCACCTTTTTCAGTTGTTATTCAGACACTAATATGGAAGTCTAGATTTCCCTACACAACTCACATCAACTGTCAGAGACCTCATAGATTGATGCCACGTCGTACTCTGGCCACCCTTAAACTCTTTCCAGTATAAACCAACTTCAGTTCACATTATGTTTTGAGGAAGCTAGTAATTAAGCATGTGTAACACAGATGTCCCAACCACCTGAGTGGCTAAAGATGCACAACCCCTTAAACTGGCTTTTCTCTTCTGTCTAAAGCTTCATGCTTAGCCTCTGCATTAGTAAATTGGTGATCCCACAACAAGGGGTTTGTGTTTTTTAAGTGATGGTGATTAGACACCTAACGCCTTGTTATTTCATTCCACCCCTGGTTCTAATTCAAATATTCCACCACCATCAAAAGTGAAATAGGTCGTTAAAGGCCAACTGAACTTTTGTAGCCACGACTATATACTGTTGACCAGCAGTCGCATAGGTAAACTCACAAGTAAGTGAAGTAGATACTCCACTCAACGAGTTTAATTCCTATTTTCAGCTGATATGTGAATAAAGACCAGTCCTGAAGCATAACTCATGTCTCAGAGGTGGGGAATATATCCCAGACACTGTTCATGTGTTACTACGGTTGTTTGAAAGACTCGGCAAATAGTATATGCCCTAACTTCGTTGTCTGTATGTTTCAAGTTTATGCGGTTTGTTTCATCTGTCTCAGACGACGAGGAAGAACCTTTATTAACACGTCCATGAAAAATAAAAGTGAAAAGAAACATCTTTAAAGAACACCACTCAATGTAGATACTTCCTACGTAAGCTGTAAAACGTGTGATATTAGAACATTAGTATTTAGTAAGGGAAATTACTTGCTAGATACCTTTTCGCTAGGAAATATTAGCACAAGTTCCCTCGACCGATGAATGCACGTTTAGCATTGGTGGCCGGTTAGAATCCCTGGGATGAGAAGTGTGGTGGCGGAAATGGACCTGATAGATATATGAATGCCATTTCTGGAGCATGTTTGGTCTACTTGAGTTTGGCGTAACCAAGCTATAGCGAGTGTCGAGTAATTCATAACCTAGAATTTCGAAGGACATGTTGGTTAAGGTACACATTCTATGGTTCTCGGTAGACGATTTCTGTCCTTTATTATAGACTTAATCAACCAACTACCATGACCAATGAGATGGGATAAAGTCTTCTGATATTACCGTCATTTGATGAAATTATCTTCAGGTTTCTTCCTTAAATGCTCCTGTTGAAACGCACTATACTTCGTTGTGAACTTTTCAACTCTGGAAGTAGTCGAAGGTCATTTACCAGTGTCACACTCAAGCTGAAATTGTGATTCGTCAAATTAAAAAGTGAATGCATATGAAAGCAAGAAACAATGTTTGACATGCCTCAAATCAACGTACAACTTTCCTCTGAACGTAAAGATAATGCTTTTTCATCAATTTCGCCAAATAATCCAACGTCAAATTAGTATTGTACAGTCAAAAAAATAAGCATTAGAGTTAAGTTCTTTGAAATAATTATGCAAACCCTATCAACGTAGATGTTAACAAAGTGTTGTTGATTGTTGTTGAAGAAAATCGTAACTCTCAGGGAATTCAAAATATCAACATATGAATTGCAAGTTCAATCACCTTTCAACTTTCAACCTTTTGATATATTCAGTCTTTTAATGAAAAATTGGTAAAAGTAAGCAATAAATTTTACCAACCAACTGATATAGCAGTGATTCGATGCAGTGTAACACCCAAATTTTCCACATATCAAAATTCAGTTTTTGTTCGTTAAAATCATGCAACTGAGTGCAAATTAATCGACATTACATAATTATCTGAACTTCCTAGACTTTTGTATTGTCATGATAAACTGCATAACAATGGAGTCGATTATCGGTAACAAAAGATAACTCCATCAAGACTTATATCACTGACGATATCTACTAAGTTGAGTTTTATACGTTTGCGTTCAACAGATTTGTGTCATCATAGTTGTTTCCACCACTGGTTTAAGTGTATCTATCGTTCCAAGCTGAAAAAATAGTTATCATATCACTAATATGTAAGAATGCGATAAATAATCCTATGAACAGTCATTCTAAGTATTCTTTGTAACAAGGAAACCAACACTGAACAAAATTATCACCTGAAACCTTCGGAGTAGTCTGAATGGTTTCAGGTGATAATTTTGTTCAGTGTTTGTTTCCTTGTTACAAAGAATACTTAGAATGACTGTTCATAGGATTATTTATTGTATTCTTACATATATAGCATATCGAAGTAGCTGACATGAACGGACTGGTAAATCATTTCAAAACTTAAATCTCATAGCTGAAAAGGTAGTTTTCCAGCTGCCCAGCTATGGTTTTAGCAGGGTATCCGTTGCACGTCACCTAGAAGACCTAACCAGTCATGATCACTGACATGAAAAAAGTCAGTATCTAACAGAATAAACTACTGAACGACATGCGTAGTCAGATGGCAGTCATGTCAATCTGTAAATTTTACTTTTCAAAGGTTTGCATCTATTAGAGCTCTTCTCTGTAATTCAAATTAAAACTTTAACCCGTCATCATATTAGGACTCAGAGAATGTCTTGGTTCAAACCACTTTAATACTGGATGTTTGTGTACTTCAACACTTATAAGTATCACGTTCAATAAAGTACTTATAAACTTTCATAAATATCATACAAATTACTTCAGTTGTACAAAATTACCATTTATTGTTGCTAGCCAATTAGTCAAAACTAGTAATTAACTGAGTTGTATGTAACAGACAAGTGAAAACCCTTTTTTCAAGAAAAAGGTGGATTTAAAACTATGTCAAACATTTAGCAGCATAAATTTTTTATTCGTTAAACTTTCATGTTGAATAGAGATAAATTTATTCTTAACACACATTTAAATAAGCAGCACCAAAGAAATGTGAATGTTATCCATAAATTAGTTGATTTTTTCCATACGAGAAACAAGTTAATTGAATTCAGTTTGTTTTAGTGAGTAAATGAATAATGGACCTTGTTCAATTCAAATTGAACGTAATCACAACGTAATAACTCCATTTCATACTTATTTATCACTTACGTTACCTACAAGTGTAGAAATATATAAACCATTGTTTGAAAGTTAACTTACGGTTAGTAGTTGGATTTAATTATTGAAATGACCAGTAAGTGGATAAGCTAACATTTCCATCTTTCTATTGACTCATTATTCTACGATTACAATAAATGACTACGTCTACTATTCAACAACTCACCTAAGAGAAAGAAGAAATTTCCTTTGTCCATTCTGGCTGTTGGTGGTCGTGAGAATTAGTAATATGTAAAGTACTTCTATTCAGGACTAACTTTATAAATAACTTATTTTACAGACACAAACTTTGCTTTTGCATGTCCATATCTGAAGGGCATGACAGGATTCTTCGTTGAGATCACAGGATCCTTTTTTCTACATCATGGTGATTATTATTACATACACAATCATTAGTTAGTCGTTTTTCTGCTTAGACTAATAATCCATAAAATATTAATGTTTTCGGACAGCTAAGTAACAGCTTGTCATAAAAATGGAGTTCATGTAAATAAAATGGATAAACCACCTCATACACATAGTGTGAGAACAGTTGCTTTTAAATTTGAACAGGATAATCCTTTCGACACATAACCTGCTGAAGTTAATTGCATAATATGATGACTTTTAGTCAAATTTGTTTAAATTATGGTTCAGTTTTTCTTTCTGTTTATATCATATGTGGTAAAAATAAATAATTCACAATGAAGAAAACGTGATAAATCATGGAATTAAGTTCATTGACTAGCCATAGCGTCTGATCATTTGCTTGCACGCTTATATCTTACCTAATCATAGACACACTCATATAAACAATTGTAGGAAGGCTTAAATTCACAGGTTATGTTGATGAGGTGTAAAAAATTCGAGAAAATTATAGAAATTAAGGCTTGTCCCAGTTTTAATACTTGGCAGTCAGCACAACTAATCAAACAGTAGTGAAACATAATTTTCTTCTCTACATTACCTCACAAATAATCTAATCATTTTGAATTTCGAATCAGCAGATTAAAAACTTTTGGAAAACTTTAAGGGTTTCATTATATTAAAATATCCAAATATAATATATTAGTTTGATTCAACTGGACAGGAATACAAGTGCAAGACCCGTTTAAATTTCATAACCCAACACATTTCACCTAAGTTATGAGTCATCCACTCTTAAAAGCATGGCAGTGGACTTTAATGGATACTGTTTCGAGTCAGCTTGCAATTTTGAAATGCCTGATAATGATTGGCGTAACAGACAGTTCTACCTATCGAGGTGAAGTTAATGAAAGGGGTGAAACAGTGGACGATGAAAGTTACCCTTAAATTCTGTTAGTATACATCTGGTGGTCGACAGAAGTGGGGTTTGAGTTTCATCTCATCTACAACTCATCAGCTGGGGGTTAACTCTTCATTCATGCTCCCATTGAAACTTCTGAAACTGGTAGACACCAATAAACACAGATAAGGAATCTGACTGCAAACATCATCCGGACGTTATTAAAAGGAACCCATACTTCAACAGTAACTGGTAAGTTTAGTTGCATAAATCAACAGCAAGAACGATCGAAAATTTTAATGAAAATCCTCAATTCATCAATATGGATTTATAAGTATTTGACAGCGACTAGTTGCCCAACTCAGGTAATTATAGTCTTTCAGTTTCTACTCAACCAGTTCTGCTTAGTACTCTGAAAGCGTAAGCTTTCTCACTTGCAGTAGTCTCTTCGGCTTACTAAATGGACAACTAACTATTATGAAGTTCGGTAACAATTATTTTCAAGTTGGCAACGGGTATGTGTAGTGGCTGAATAACCGAGTGGGGGTATTGTAATACATGCAGCATAGTATGCCTGGTTTGATATGTTTATGAGCAATAATTTATGCTCGAAACGTCACTGTGTGTTATAAATCAAATAAACATATCTAATATGGAATTAAATCCTACCACAGTGCCCAAATTTTACACCTATACCTGGGTTGAGTCTAAGGCCTGAATTTATCAACGTAATCCATAGGAAAAGGACTAAGTGGAGACCCTAAATTCTGATACCTATTTGTATCAAATGTTATTCCAGAATAATCATTGAAGATAATGTTGACGCGTCTGCAGTGGCAGCCTGTATCTTGAAATTAGTCACTCATTTCCCGTAAACTGTCAGTGGAGTACTCTGAACTTGATTAACTAACTTTTTGCTATTGGATACCACAGATTGTCATCTAATTAGGATGATAAACAAAAGATGTGTTCAAATGTATCTTGCTTATTGAATGATCATCCGTCGTGTTTTTCTCCTACATTGTGCGTAGAAGTCTGAAGGATAGTTTAAAGTAAATACACAAAAAGATAACTAATATTATGCCGAATATTATGTTGTTACTCTTATTATTCCATCAGTGATTGGATCGAATTGATCGCTGGGTACATGCAGCTGGCGAATCCCAAACAGGAAGGAATCCTAGTCCTGAGTTCCCCTGCTAGCCACTATCTATCATTAACATACCGAATATTAGCTTGATTAACATTGATCTTTGTACTACTAATCGGTTACCACTTAAGATAGTTTCCTTTATGAAATTATGTTCTGTAGGAAATTGTCAGTCACAAGAGGGATTTAGCTGACCGCTTTTTACCAATTCTGAACTCTTTAGCAGTGGGGACTCACCACACTAAACAACAGTATACTTCGATAACTTTATGTTATATTTGGTAAGATAACTAGAGACTGAGACAACAAAGAGACCAAGGTAGATCAGTTGGTAGAATGGATGGCTAATATTCTTAAAGTTTGTGATTTAAATCCTATTGCTGTGCAACCTTTCAAATACTTTCATCTTAGAAACTTATATTGCTTCTACAGAGAGGTAGATACATTGAAATAACAATGTCGAAAATCGCACAAAAGCGCTTTCTTTTCATTCGTCACATTGTACAGCACATAAATAAGAAGACGACACAAAACAGACTATGGTGTAATAAAAAAGAAATGAGTGAAGAGAAGGAAGGAGTATAAGGTAGTAAGTTTTCGAGGTGAGAAAGGAATAAATGAACAAATAGGAACTTTGGTGCCTCTATGATCAACTTTGAGTGATCATTTAGTTATCATTTGACTGAGATAACCGTAGCTTGGCAGACTAGTATTTATACTAGGTGGTGATTGATGGTGAAATGAAAATTTCGACCGCGGCCGGATTCGAACCAGTGTCCACCGTGTTTCCGTCCTGACGTGCTTTTAAGTTACTACTTTATAGAAACCGGTCAGCTAGGTCACAGTATTATTGTTATGACCAATAATCAGTCTTCATATTATCACATTCATTTTTCTTAATCTCAGTCTTTAGTTAAATAATACCAGTTCGTTTTAAAGCGTCAACATACAGTAGAAGTTCTGAATTGCACAAGGGTTACTGATAATATCGTTCATTCACACCACCACTGACCGATGAAAACAAAAAAGTATGCACCATTTCCTTACCCCTCGAACAATTATCTAAGGTATGAAGATTGTAATTAGGTTGCTGTGTTGTGGTTGGATGAAAAAGTAAAAATATACATTTATGACGCTTCATTTGACCAATCAAATTTTGACGCTTCTCTGTTTTTGTATTACTTGATAATTCTGTTAGCCATTCAATAATTCTTATTGGTCAGTTTTCGACTGTGATAGGACAAAAGACTTTATGTTAAGGAAGACGTACCGCTTACAAATAACTTAAGAGTACAGTTCACGATTAATTCAATTCCTGGTAAGCAAAATATGATACACACGTACTCAGAGAATTCTAAGACCGGTCAGCCATCAATCCACTTCCAACCATGGTCTTCGTCTCTTCCGGAAAGTAATAATCTGCACAATAACAGCACACCAAAAATAATTGATTCAGAAACATTTGTGATGCACCGTGAAAGATTTCTGAATGCATATGAGGAATCACAGAATAATTTAGAAGCTTATTTAGCCAATAATATATGTATTCGTCCATTTGATCTATGCCCTCATACACTACCAATGCATCTTCCTACTTTGAATGATTATCATTCATCAGAACATATAGGATATCATGCCAGTCAAATGGATACAAAGTTCATCAACCGCTTCTCCGATTATTCGACAGATAAAACTTCTCATACAGCTATTAATACTGGTATAAATAACAATTTTCTGTGTGATAGCGTTAATGATACTCGACATTCTCAAACAAAGTCTAACTTCATGCAGGCAGGACTGAATTTAAGTAATCATTTGAAAAGTACTGAATATAGACAAAAGCAGCAAGGTAAGTCAACAGCAGCAGAAAATGATCCTAATCAAATAAATAACATGTTAGGACCTTATTCACTACAAGACAATAATGTTGTTACTGATGAGGATAGTAAACGGGAATCTAAACCGCCAAGTGCTAGCCTTAATTTGTCTCCATATGCAGCGCATCATTTTCATTTGTACAAAGAAAATCATAATTCATTTGCAAAGTTTACTGAGGTAACTAAGACTACAGCAGAATCTAATATGTCAGCATGTACACAGTCTCATATTTCAAACGATCAGTTCTCATCGTATGCCTTTCATCAGCAAAAAAGAAACAATTTTCTAGTCCCCTATTCAATAAATTCACCGATTGGTGAAAAATCTCTCGTGTATAATAATATCAAACATTCAACCCCAATGAATCCTATGCTTTGTTATCAGCCGCAACAATTACAATCACATCACAATAAGAACTTTGATATGATAAATTCAAACAAATTCGTAACGAGTACAAATCATTCAAGCGTCAACGTTCAAGATACTTCAGTGAAACCACCTTATTCATATATTGCGCTTATTGCAATGGCTATATCATCACAACAGGATGGGAAAGCAACACTAAATGGAATTTATCGATATATCATGGATAAGTAAGTAGATTTCTCGTATGTAATATGTTTCTATTTCTTTATTATATGATGCTCTATTATATATTATATTGCTTTATAAATTAAATCTGCTTTCAATTTCTTTTTGACTGTTGAAATTTCCAGAGAAGAATATGTAGATTCAGCTTCAAAATAGTTCTACTTGTAAGTTGAGATCTGTTTAATGAAACAAGTGAAACTAGGGTGAAATTCATGATTTATGGTGACATTGATAAACTGACAATATATATGTAAGCTGAGGAAATCTAAACAGCTGAAACTAGATGTAATAACTAAAAGACAGTCCGTCAAAGGAGTGTGAAGTTTCGTTGTAAAGACATGAGAACGATCACAAGTACGTGATCACAGAACGATATAAGAGTAGGAGGATATGGTAATTCACTGCCTTGTGAAATTAACTGTTTCATAAATTAGTTTGTTATGTCATCCAATCTTCATTCAGTTTTTAAAAGCGTAAATTATCACCATTTTAGATAAAGTATTTTAATTTATTAGGTAGATTATGCGTTAAACATTTTACTACAGAGGGACATAAGTTCCCACCTAAAATTTGTCGATAGTAATTTTGTACTGGTTATGAAAAATCGATGACACAATGGTTACTTGACGTAGTCAGTCAGTTTCCAGTGATGAGAACCACAGGTTAGTAATTCAGCGTTAATTAATGCAGAAGTTATCTCTGTAAATATCCAGTTTCGTATTGAACTTGTTCACTAGTGTTATTGCTTTTTGCGAAACATGTTCCAGTCGACGACTACTCCATGACAAAATTTAATATTACGTCATAAGTTGATTTGCCGGTAACTTTTGAATCCTCTTACAGTAACCTCCAAAATGATCATTCTTAGAAAGAGTAAAGAGGTTAAATACAGTAACAAGAATTCGAAATGGGAATTGTTAATATATGAAAAAAACGTCTAACTGCTTAAATCGCCTTTAACATGTAAAGCGGGAAAATTGTATTCAAAAATGAAACCTGCTACCTTAACAGATTTCAGTAGCTTTGTTTAATAATGCACACTGTGGTTGTAAACGAGGCTTAGCATCCCTAACCTATCTTTGTTAAAACACTTGTGGAACTGTAGTTTACTGGTCCAAGTACTCAGCTATCAATTAGTAGACTACAGTTTTGATCTCCACTCTAACTACTAGGGCTTAATAATCCACTTGCAACATTAGCCGTTGCCAAGCTGCTTTGGCCCATTACTAATTGCATGGATATGCACGTGTTTGCTAATTTGTATGGCATTTCATTGTACTGAAAATCAGACGAAACGAACATAGTAATCTGGACTCTTTCTTTTCAAGTGTATGGTTGTCAACGGATAGTCATCAATGTAACTATTAGTTTAACTGTTCAACTGGTATTAGAGATGTACTTTAAACCAATTTTATGTCTAGTGTTATTGCTTGTATTACACCGCCGTTGATTGGACCGAATTGGTCAGTCTCTGTTGACATATGGGCTCCTGTGCGGATGCCTCGATATTGCCTACCTACTAGGAAGAATAATAATCACGGAAAAGGCAAATAATATTTAGAAGATTTGATATCTTTTCACTCTCCCTTCCATTGCTGTATCGGGAATCGCTCTTGAACGCAAGAGGAAACCTTTACAAACGAGAATCTCAACAATCATATACATATAGGGTGGATCTGCGCGTGAGAAGAATGTATAAATTATGTTCACAACTTGATATGGTATTATACAGTGAAAAATTTCAGTTGAGAATGAAGTAAAAGTCTGGATTTAGCTGATTTCGAATAAATGAATAATTCATTATTCTGTCTGTTGGGAAGAGGAAAAGTGGTGTGTTTCAGTAACCATATATAGTTTGATTAGGCTTTATTGTGAGCTGGTATGGATGAGGTCAAGTGATACTATCTAGCTGTTCAGGTTTCATTAGCTGAAATGTATTTCAAACCTTTGGCTCCTGAAATCGAAAGGGAATACCTAATCTACTGGTCTGCAGTTCTACACATATTGTCAACCAGAAGCACACGAATGTGCTAAGCTGTTATTCACATCCTATGTGCAGCCACATAAACTGAAGTATATACAATTAACTAGGATCCATAGCTGTAAATGAAATGGGCAAGGTAGAGAACCACACTTGAATATTAAATAGGCTATAGAAAATACAGTAACTTGATTCATTTTAATTTAACGCTGGTCATCCAGTCAGGCATTTATAGTATTTCTCAGATTTACATTGACTGTCCTGTATAATATCAGCTTTGTGGTGGATTTTGACTGGAACATGAAATAGAAATGGATTATAAGTTACTATTTGACTCATGAATTCTGCTAAATCATTAGTTAATGTATATAGATAAGTAGCCAAGTGGTTGACGTGTTTAGTTTCAACTAACCAATCACTATTTGACATGGCCATTCACCTATCAAGCTTTTGGAGGCCACAGGTATTAGTAGCCATTACACTGTACGTTTGATTGACTATCTAGCGTATGAACCTGATCACAGTCACTCAGTTACCCAATCATATTGTGACGATTTAAATAAAAATAATCTACCAAATTATTGATGAATTTGTGCACTTATTGGCCCCTGGAAAGCAACAAGTGTCATCGTTTCAGATTACCACTAGAGGGCCATTTGTAATCTTTGCCTCATGAGATGCAGACTCATAGGCACAATATTCCAGTGCACACATAATACAATGCTAATATAAACACCATTCTAATAGTTGTGATGATCGGAAATATCAATTAAGAGTTTAAGGTCCTCGTTATGTAACTTGACAGTCCTAGGTTCAGTCTCATGACAGTAAATGAGTTTATATCCCAAAAAGAGTCCCAAAGTGAATCCAGTATTTTAAGTTTTCCAAGATTATCCAACCAATAAGGATTTGTTTTTTATCGACACATGATTTCCTATTGTTAAACTGGTTTGAAGTGATCCATCGTTGTTGACATATTGACACCTATGCGGATGACCTGTTATCGCCTGAAGATTCAATTTCCTTAGTGGCAGCAAGTATTGAGATTTCAGATACACGTATTTTCCTCTAGAATGCACAAGGGACCAGGTACTAACAAAGCTCGATCGATGCTGTGCAGTATGACAACGGGCAGCTATAAGTATCACTAAACAACAACTGATAACCATCACATAAAAGGGAGCTATCATGACTCAGTAATCTAGTAAAGGATGTTCTGATGTTTAAAGCTACTGATCCCGGGTCTGAGTCTCAGTGGAAACACTACCACTCACTGGGATGCTGGTGAATGCTGCTAACGAGTGCCAGATAAGACGGAAAGCGCGTCCTGGATTCCACTGCCAGCTGTCACCAAGCAAATTATAACTTTAAATTGATTTGCGTTGAAACTGTTTTTATTGTTACAAGATAGGAACAAATGAGCATAAAATTAAGAAAACAATATAGTTTGAACCAGTGATATAAGATTGTTATAAAGCACTTCGTGATTTGTTCTTTAGCTTGAGATCACTTTCAGCAAGTTAGGCTGAAAAATTACTTAGGTATAAATTGATTACAAGAAAATACAGAATTACAGGTATGCTTTTGTTTCAAAACACTGAAACAAAGGAAATTTGACTGGTCTATGCTATCCCTGTTTAATATTAATGATGAACAGTGGTTAGTAGTGGAATCCAGGACAAGCGTTTTGTCCTGCTTGGGATTCTTCAGTCGGATTTGCTTGCTTCCCAGTTCGAGTCTTAGCAGGGACAACATTGCTCAGTGGGGTACAGGTACATCCATCTGACGAGTTCCAAATAGGACGAAACACGTGTCCTGGATTTCACTGCTAGCCACTGTTCATCATTAATATTAAACAAGGACAGTATAGATCAGTCAAATTTTCTTTGTTTTACTGTTGATTACATACGAAATGAAACCAGCTTCAAGATAGCTATGTATGTGGCCCTTAATACCACCAAAAGCAGATCACTTAATTACAGCAGGTTAAACTAGAGTTTTAACAGTTGGGAGTGCTAAATTAGTGGTCAACAAGCACAAGAGGTGTTTAATCACATCTAGGAATTATTTTGGTACCGGTAAGATTAGGTTTAATCTTTTTTCTGAATGATTGACAGATAACTACTAGAACTTTGTCGAATGAAATATTCATCTCCACCTGTGATATGTAATCAGCTTGGTAACTAACTTAGAATTTAAGACAGTATATTTCACTTGTGCGCTTGTTCTTCCTCACTAGGGTGGTAACGACCAATACAAAGGAGTAATGGGCTAAAGGAGAGGACAAAAATGATACGCGTGTTCGTTTAAAGACTTTAGGGAATTACTTTTTCACCACAGGTTTTCACTTTTCCCACCATCCTCCTTTTTTCTTATCAAACAACAGATGTGCTGGTTGTGTTGTATGTGAAAATGTATATAGGTTTGAGTGAATTATTCATTATGTATTTACAAGTTAATGAATGTGACAAAAAAAATTGATGGCCAGTAATACCGAAACTGCAGGCTATTTCAAGTGCTGAAACTATTCAAATCAGTCTTTCAAACTGATCAATTCAGGTACTCAAATTGCCTAGAAGTGTTGAATGACTTTTCAATGAATTTGCATGTGTGACTAACTAGGGTCTAATTTAGAGTGTCATGAATCCATTTCAGTTTTCAAAGTGATTTTCCAGTGTGATTAAAAAATAATAACAACCATATACATACTGGTCACCAAATGGTAACTAATATCGTGTTTTAACTCTGCTTCAATCTTTTTGATCACATAGTGCAATATGTCTATTATATTGACTGTTGTTGAAGGTGGTAATGTCTTACAGTGATCATTTCTATGTATTTCAACTGTCTAGTGAATATTGTTATTTTTTTCCCTTGGGTTCCTAGTGGAACGTAGGGATTTAGTAGCATGTCTCCATTGTACTGTGTCCTCTGCAGTCTTTTGAACCTGACTCCACGACTGCCTAGAAGTTTTCATTTCTTCCTCACATGATCTCCTCGATGTCACCCTCGGACACCCAA